AGCCGACACCCAACCGATCCTACTATACCCACGGCGCCGCCGCGCCCCCCCCCCCCCCATTCCGGAAGGAAACCAAGCTAGGTCAAAGACCTAGGTAGTCCGTAACAATTTACTCTATGAATCATAAGGGGCTCCCAACACCGAGTACGCAACTCGCGCCAAGTTGAGCGACCTGTAGTGAGAATTCCGAAGAAAAAAAATAAATAATAATATGATACGTAAGTAATATGTTCTAGTCTAAGCTAATGTCCTGGATGTCTAAAATTAGCTAATTTAATTAGAATGTTGGGGCATCTGGGTCGATCGGCTGCAGATCGCCAGGCCCTTTGAATGCCTCCAGGATAGTCGCCTGCTCCGAAAGCATGAACCGGTCCGTCTGCGTTCCAATCTTGGCCAGACCTCTCCAGCGCTCAAGATCCTCCGCGTTCCTCTTGTCCCCATGCGCCGCTTCCGCATTCTCCCAGTGGCCCTGCGAGAAGCCCAGCAGCGTGGTGATTTTCTGCTCCTTGATATCGTAGACCAGGGAGCAAATCGTGCCCGTCTCCTCCAGCCAGTTGCACTGCCAGAGCTCGCCGGGCCGGATGCACTGGTACGTGGCCGTCTGGTAGTTGATGCGCCCGGCCATGGGTCCGCCGTGGATGGCGTAGACGATGCGCGCGTCGGAGAAGAACCACATCTCGTAGCGCCATTTTTCGGGATTCCCATGCTCGTCTTGGGCGTCGTAGTCGTAGATGAGGTGAAGATTTCGAATGTCTTGGTCAAAAGAGGGATGAAGGGCAGTGTTGGAGTGGAACTGGGGAAGCACGGTTTTGGGGGCCATGATGCAAGGACGGCAACTGAGGCAGTGAATAAATTGAAAAGTTCAGACGATGTTGGTGGTTGAAGAATGATGAACTGTTAAGATTGCGGGGCCTTGGCGGAAACTTATACGTTGGCATCGTCAGAGTGCAGAATCGAGATGGGCGCTAATACACTGCCGTTTTCGTCAGTGATAGAGTCCCGCGGACTTTTAACCCCTTTACTTGCCGGTGCTAATGCCGACAGTCTCTCAATGTTAGTTATGACTTGATAAAGAACAAGTTTCCTGTAAACGGCATCTCACATCTCGAACACGAATCCGCGGCCGCTAGCAAAGTCAATTGCAACTCGTGGAGCAGCTGACGCCCGAAGCAAGTCCCGAGGCGACGGTCTGCTGTTGGTTGCAGAGGAAATTTTCCGCTTAGTAAGCATGCAACATATCAAGGTCATTCAGCAAATTGACTTCTTTATTTACAGCTTATTTTCCTACTTCAACTTGGCTGTGGTGGCATAGAACTTCACCGAGGGGCTTAAAGCGTTGATTCAGAGAGCTTTTCTCAACTGGTCGCTTTTTTTCGTCACTCGCGTGTTTGGGTACCGAATATTTCTTGCGCACGATCCGACTACTCAGGCTCAGGTGCTTCCTCCACCTGGCGCAATCAGGCGCACTCAATCATATAGTTTTATATTAAGGTTCTTTTAGTAAGTAATAGTTTTATAATTATAATTACTTTTATTGGTTAATTTATAATTTTATTTTTTATAATATTTTAATATTTAAAAGCCTATTATATTTTAAGTTAAATATTTATCTTTAAAATTATATTTTAAAGTTAATATATATTTTTATATAAAGAAATAAAAATACCTTCTTTTAAGTTTATTATTATAATTATATTATTAAAATAAATAATAATCTTTTTTATTTAAAGGTTAAAGTATATAAAAGTAACTTTAAGTTTATATCTTATTTCTTTAACTTTAATATTAAAGACTTTATTTACTAAAATGTTATAAACGCTATAGTATATACGCGGGGGCTAAGTAAAGCAGACCA